TGCGCCACCCAGCTGCCCCCAGATGTACTCTATACCTTAAAGCAGTGGCGTTAAACTCAAATAGAACAGGGGCCACTAAACCATACAAAAGAATCCATTTAGCTGCATGATGACTTAGAAAATCACAATCTAACATTATATTTTTTGGCATTTTAAAATTTTGTTAAATATTTACCGATTGCATTTTAATCTCATCTGGGTCACATCTGGCAGTGTTGTGGGCCCCATGCTTATGTTTGGCACCTCGGCTGTAAAGTGCTTAATGATGCATGAAGAATGGAAGCTCAAAGAAGTCTCTGTGTCCCACACAGCAAAGGGTGGAGGGGATTAAGACTGCAAATAGAAATCCCTGACTCAGTGTTGCTTCTCTTGTGCCGCCATTACCACTATGCTCTGTCTCCTCTACTTTGTCTCTTGCCAAATAATTCTATTTGGGGGGACAACACTTTTTAACTCAAAAGCTTAAACTTAAGAATAGTAGAGTATTAGTGCTATAAGAGAATTTATATGATATTTGCTTATTGACTGACCGATATGAAAGGGAGATTTTTAGTGTTTGTATCTAAGGCTGGATTTGAACTCAGGTCTTCCTGACTTCAGGCCCAGCACTCTGTCAGGTGCACCTCCTAGCTGCTCTTTAGGGCACAGCAACAAATCAGATGGCAATATTTCCTTTTCATGGCATTTCTCCTAATAAAATCGTTGTTGTTTCTGAGGTTGAACCATTTGACAGTGCCAAAGACTTTGTTGGCAAGAACTGTGCTTTCTGGGTCTTCAGTAGCTGTGGCTGTAGCAGCTGCAGGAGCAGTTGCCAGGCTGCATCTCCACAAGGATTGCTTCCCAGGATGGCAGCTATGAAGGTTAAGCTGGATGCATTGCTATTCCTAAGGCTCTTGAGTTCTGGGTTTTGGGCTATCTTCATTAGGGTCTGATAATTATCTGCGTAAAGATAATAGTTAAACTCATGAGAGCAAAGGAGATCATGAGGTGCAGTAGTATTGAGGGAAAAGGAAAAAGGGTCTGGGGTAGAGCTTTGGGAGACCCTCAGGGATAAGGGTATGATCTGAATGAAAATAATGGAGAATGGGGAGCTGTCACCTAAGCAAACCAGGAGAGAGATATGTTTAAAAAAAAATTAGAAGAAAGTATCTAGGAGGAGAGAGTGATTGATAGTGTTAGTAGGACTGCAACAGTTTTCATTTAGCTTCATACTGTGAAATTTCCTTTTCCAAGTATTATAGATATTCCAATATGTATTTACCATTTTATTTTGTGGGCATTATGATGTTTTAAATAAAATATTCTAAGAACAGTGACTTTGATTTCAGTCTCTGATGTGTGAATTGATTTACTTTGTTTATTAATACTTCAGGCTTTTTTGTATTGCCTTTCACATTGGTGTAGGGAATTGCTAATGAGTAGACTATTTCTCCCCATGCAAATCAGCCGATGTTTGGCAACGTGAGGGTTTATAGAGCTAGAGGGTGAAGTGACTTATCCAGAGTCTCACAGCCAATATGTATCATGGGCATAACTTGAACTCAGGTCTTCCATATTCGGAATAATTCTGTGCGTTAGATCGTGCTCCCTCTCACCTTAAAGTTTTAAACATAAATTTTTCACTAAAACACCAATAACATGGTGCTCACCACATACTACTAATTATTTTTGTTTTAGTCACTAACACCTTGTCTATCCTTATAGAAAATCATACATATTCTTTCCAATTCAGGGCATTGAGACACTGGGATTTTGACTAATTACAGCATCATGGCTTTCCTCACTTACTCATATTAGTGTTTTTAGCTGGCATGGCAGAAACCATACTAATCATGGTGGAATAGAGACTATCTGGGCTGTATGTGTCTCTGTGTTGGCATGTCACTGGGAGGCTAACTGTCTCCAATGACCTAGCAAATCTATAGATGCAAAGTAGACTGAAAGTTTGAGAGTACTTTAAGATCATCTTCGGTATTGGGAAGCTGAAACATTAGTGAGTTTTAAAATGCTTTGAGATCACGTCCTTCATCTCCAGATTCTAACTTGCAGAAGTAATTTATTTTTAAAAAGTAAATTTAAAAATATCTTTTGTTGCTTAGATCTTCCTTGTTGCTAAATTCATAACTGTCAAAAGCTGTCATTTTCTATATTGCCTTAAACTTTCCTGATGTCCTTGATCTATGTTTTGTATTTTGGTAAGTCACTTAGCCTCCCTGAGCTGAAATCCTCGTGCGGAAATGGGGATGATAATACTTGCAGTAGTTATTTCCCAGAGTTCATGTGAGGATCAGATGAGATATTGTATGTAGAGTGCTTTGGAAACCTTTAAAGTACTTGATAAATATCTGCTTTTCATCTCCTGATTACTTGTCAATGAGATTGTTCAGACTCTGCCTTACCTTCAGTATTCTCTCCTGAGTTATAAAGACAGATAACATAAAACAATGGGGGTCAAGGGAAGGAAAGGCTAGCAAACATCAGAATTGTTGGTCTCCTGTAGATTAAGTCCCTGACAGATATTTCTAGCCCTCTCCACCACTGAAACCTAACAAATATGGATGAGTAAGTTTCTTTGTCAAACACTGTTTGCAAGGGTATTGACTACCTTAAACTGACAATCCATACTTTCATGAAAACAGTTTTAAATCAAAAACTTGAAAACAGATTTTAACGATTTGATGCCCCATGAATGGGAAAAGATCCATTTTAGCAATAATTGTGCAAAATCTTAGCAAGTAGGTGTTAAGAACATACAGCAGCTCTAATTCTGTCACTGACATTCTGGGGACATATTCGATATAGCTGGCCTCTTCATGAAGTTAATTTCCTCTTTTGAAATCTTTGGTACATGGGTTAGAGGGATTTGTGTCTTATGAAATGAGATACTGTTGATAAAACCTCCTTAGAGAAAAACACAATAGCACATAATGTTGTACCTCTGGCTTTTTGTGCTCTAGCAGCATTGACTTTGGGCTGCAGAATTTATTGGGGATTTTCCCAACCTTGACTATGTTTACTGCTCCACAAAGCAGATTAAACAATGTCCTTGTTCTCTTGCTGCTTAGAGCATTCTAAGACAGTAGAAGGTTAGGGGTATTGAGCAAGTCCAACAAAGTTACTTTTAGTTGAGTAAAATTTCATCAAAAATTTGTGGCCATGGGCCTATTTGTCAAATGAATAATAATTTAGTGCAAATGATAGAAAATTGCATTCCCATCAGTTATGGTTAACCAAATACAATCCACTGCGATCCTTTTCTCTCCATCGTTTTGACATTTTGCATTTTCTTTGTATCCCCAGTGCTTAGTATAGTGCCTGGCATATAGTAAGTGGTTAATCAGCAGTTATTTACTAAGCACCTATGAGCCAGGCACTGTGCTAGGTGGTGGGGCTACAAGTACAAGAAATGAAATGATCCCTACTCATAATGAGTTTACATTCTAATGAATGCTTATTAATTGACTTCTTTTTTAAAAAAAACTTTTGTTGATGCCCTTTAAAAAAAATCTCTAGAATTGCTACCTGTATTCTTTCCTTCTTCTTCCCAGAGAGCCATCCCTATAACAAATATTTTTAAAGAAAAAAAAACAGGAAGATGAGAGGGAAAAAAAATCAGCAAAATTGACTAATAAATCAAAAAAGTATGAAAAAAAGTCTTAATTTAACCAGGTATTCCTTTCTGCTTATTTCATCCCATTATTAAGTTGAGTTTTGAGGGAAGGGGAGGATCATTAAACATTTTCAGAGCATGGAAGACTAATGTACCATTTTGTAGCTAACCATGGTGAGTCTGAAGAGAAGTCGATGTGTCAGTTTGAAATAACATTGAATTTAATACTAATCATTGAGCAGTTTATTGAGTAAGCCTATAGAGCCACTTTAGTATAGAAGATGTTAAATGGGCTGAAAAAAAGGAACTCACTTTTATTTCTCATTGTGTTAGAGAACTAAATTCATATATTTAGGCATAAAATGTTATGGTATTTTTAATTATTAGTGTTCAGTTGAACTATTTTATCTTTGTTCCGGTAATGACATTCAAATAATTGAATTCTTATCCCTTTCTCCATTGATTAGATGCTGATTGTATTCATGAAGAGATCAATCCTACATTTTTATTTCTCAAACATAGTGAAATGATATCTCTTAAATTCCAGGTATATGGGATGGTGATCTGCCAGGAAGATTCATGCTTGGAGATTTGGTCAGCATTTCCAGCTGTTAAATCAAATATTAATTTTAACCTGTTCCCCACACCAATCCCTTCCTCTCTCCTTCCCCCCAAAATACAGTAGCACTAAGATATTTTATAATATTATGCTAAATTCACTTAACCCTTTTGTGAGATTTTTTTATTTTTGCTTTTTGTGAGGCAATTGGGGTTAAGTGCCTTGCCCAGGGTCACTCAGCTATTGAATGTTAAGTGTCTGAGGTTAGATTTGAACTCGGCTTCTCCTGACTCCAAGACCAGAGCTGTATCTACTGTGCTACCTAGTTGCCCCTCTTTCATGAGATTTGACAGAGTTTTATTTAATATACTTGCTAATGTGAATAGTGGTCTTTTGTTTATGTTATAGTTATTTAGTAAATATGCTTGTATGGCTTTGCTTAAATACTTAATAAATGTTTGTCAATTTGAATGTAGATACTAGGTTTGGGTACAACCAGTGAAATAGCTTACTAGCTTAGAGAGTCGGAAGGCCTGAGTTTGGTTCTGTCTGGGTAGGGTGTACGCTCTGGAACTTTGGTGAAGTAAGTCTCTTCATCATCAGTTTCCTTACCTTTAAAATAGGGACAACAACACTTGCCTTAACTACCTCACACAGTTAAGGAGTGGATGAATGTACTTAAAAGTGCTTAGTAAACTGAAATGCTGTAGAGGAGAAAAATGAGAAGTGTCATCATTATTCTTTCCATGAAACGCAAAGCAGTAATAAGAGACATGCTCAGCTTTCTTTACTGTTCTAGAAAAATTGTACTAACTAGCTGTTTTACCTTAGCAGGACCCAAACACCAGAAGACAAAAGGTACAGCCAAAGTTGCTAAGGTCATGAGTACTGTGGATGTATTGAAAAAAATTGAGGTAAGCTTCAGCTACTTGTGAAGCAGTCTCAATGTTGTGTTGTACTAAAGGAGGGATGGGGTGGGAACTATATTTCTGAAAGAGCTTACTCATCTCCTCCTGTTGTTCAGCACTATCCTTTGATATCACCTATTTGGCAGAAGAAAACAGTTTGCAGAAAATAACAGGAAATCTCTAGGTAAGCCAGTGCATTAGCTGGAAAGTGGCATAATTTGTCTCATCAGTTTCATGCAGAGTCAGACAATGTTAGAGTTGACAGAGACCTTAGATATCGTCAGGTGTCTTCTCCACAGTTTTCTCAGCCTTCACCATCTTTTCCTTTCTCATTTGTAAACATCTCTTTAAATACTTTCTTCTCTACCCCTTTGCCTTTTTCCTCTAGAGGTTCAATGTCTTCCTACCCAGGAATGATAAAAACAAAATAAAGGAATTAGGGGAAAAGAAAGAGGACTAAGTGTATGAAATTTATGCATTTAAATTTATATGTTTAAATAGCTCTTATTTCTTTTGTTGTAGATATCCTTTTTCTTTGTAATATTTAGTTTCTGCTTTCATGATTTTTTTCCCCCTTTTGTCCCTACCATGTCCACATAGCATTTTATTTCTACGTATCTTTGTTTAGATACTCTGTACCACTGTGAACTTCCTAGAGGTTGTAAGGATTGATGAAGGAACAATAATCAAATATACCAAGCTTAAATTTGGTGGGATGATGGATAAGGTTGCAGACATAGCTTAAGGTATCAAGCTGTAGCCATCTTATATTGATTGAAACTGGTTAGGTTCTGGCCAGCTGTGGAGTTCAGCGGTAGAAAGAGTATTAAGGAGACATGTATTCTGAGGAAGATTGATCTGAAGCTCCAAATGTGGCTCATCTTCAGGACAAAGAGTGGCTCTTCATTCATTCAGGTAGAAGGGCTCATACTAGCTTGAATGTGGGCGAAGTCATATTTGACCTATGCAACCTGAAATTTCTGTCAAAGTTATCAGTTTTAATAGAATACAATCAGAATTCAAATGACCACATCATTATTTCAGGGGGGAAGTGTTTGGGTCTTTAATATAAAATGTATATATATTCAGAGGGAAATAACACATTCCGGTCCTAAATAGCATTCAACAGATACTTGAATTTTAATCAGTTCTAGGATCTGTGTTCTACTGAAACTCAAAAAATTTGGCTCAGGGGCACTAAGAATTTTCAGTCTTAATTTCCTAGGTTTTAGAAAATGAATCAGACACAATAGGTACAAGGCCACAAACCTATTAATATAAAAATATGTATTTCACTTCTTTCCTCCTCCTCCTCTGCCACTCCTGTATTTGGTAATCCTATGTAACAGTTAGTGGTGCCACTACTGTATTTGGTAATTCTGTGTAACAGTTAGTGGTTAAAATTCCAACTTGATGGAAATATTGTTACTTGCTCAAAGTTAGATGAATTTAACCCCAAGCTTAACCTGAGATGTGTAATTTTGGGGGGGAGAGGGAGGAGGGCAATGTTGCTCTTTCTTTAAAAAAAAACATTATTTCCCTTATGTTCTGATTTTTCTTTCACAACATGACTGATGTGGAAATATGTTTAATCTTATTCTCATAGGATTTGGCTTAAGGAGGGAATAACATACACATTCAATTGGATATGGAAATCTGTCTTATCCTACAGGAAAATGGGGGGGGGAAAGGGACAAGAGAGCAGGGGGATGATAGAGAGGAGGGCAGATTGGGAAAGAGGGCAATCAGAAGCAAATACTTCTGAGGAGGAACAGGGTCAAAAGAAAGAATAGAATAAATGGGGGGGCAGGATAGGATTAAGGGAAATAGTTTTTCACAACATGTGTACTATGGAAGTGTTTTGCATAACTGCACATGTATAACCTATATTGAGTTGCTTGCCTTTTCAATGAGGGTGGGTGGGAAGGGAGGAAGGGAGAAAATTTGGAACCCAAAGTTTTAAAAACACATGTTTAAAAAAATGTTTTCACATGCAACTGGGAAATAGGAAGTACAGGAAATGGGGTACAGAAGTCTATCCTGCCCTACAGGAAAATAGAAGGGGAAGGGGATAAGAGAAGCGGGGGAGAGATAGAAGAGAGGGCAGACTAGGGGAAGGTGTATTCAGAATGCATGCTGTCTTGGGGTAGGGGAGAGATGGGGTGAAAATTTGGAACTCAAAATCTTGTGGAAGTAAATGTTGAAAACTAAAAATAAATAAATGTATATCAAAAAATATATATGTTTAACATGATTGCATATGTATAACCTATACCCTATTGCTTGTTGTCTTGGGAAGGGAAGGAGAGGAGAGGGAAGGGAAGGAGGAAAAGAAATTTGGGACTCAAAAATCTTACTAAAAAATGAATGTTGAAAACTATTTTTACATGTAATTGGGAAAAATAAAATACTATTTACCAAAAAAAATGTTTAGTGTTTTTCCTCAATAACATGTAAAAACAATTTTTACCATTTGTTTTTAAAAATTTGAGTTCCAGGGCAGCTAGGTAATGCAGTGGATAGAGCACCGGCCCTGAATTCAGGAGGACCTGAGTTCAAATCTGGCCTCAGACACATAATACTTACTAGCTGTATGGCCCTGGGCAAGTCACTTAACCCCATTGCCTAGCCAAATAAATAAATAAATAAATAAAATTTTGAGTTCCAGATTCTGTCCCTTCCTCACCACCTCTGTCATTGAGAAGGCAAGCAATATAATATGGTTATACATGTATAATAATGCAAAACATATTTCCATGTTAGTCGTGTTGTTGAAAAAAAAAACAGACCAAACCTCCCCCCTCCCCCCTGAAAAAAAAAAGAAAAAAAAAGTATGCTTCTATCTGTATTCAGACTCCATCAGTTCTTTCTCTAGGGATGAATAGCATTTTTCATTATAAGTCCTTTCCAGTTGTCTTGGATCATTGTATTACTGAGAATATCTTAGCTAAGTCATTCACATTTCATCGTCTTATAGTATTACTGTTAACTCTGTACAATATTATCCTGGTTCTACTTATTTTACTTTGCATTAGTTCATATAGGTCTTTCCAGGTTTTTCTGAGAGCATCTTGCTCATCATTTCTTATAGCACAATGGTATACAATTTGTTCTGCCATTCCCTAATTGATGGGTATCCCCTCAATTTCCAATTCTTTGCCACCAGAAAAGAGCTGCTATAAACATTTTCTTTCTTTCTTTTTTTTTTAATCTCTTTTGGAATACAGATCTAATAGTGGTAGGTAATGTTGCCTCTTAAAGGAAAATGAAAAAATACTATTTGACTACACGTGGAGTCATAAAGAGCTAAAAATTCAAATTTTGCCTTAAACCTGTAAAACCTGTGTGACTCTGGAAAAATCATTTAACCTCAGGCTCAGTTTCCTATTCTGTAAAATGGCATAATAATAGCACCTAACAGGGTTGTTAGGAAGATCAAATGAGATAACGTGTAAAGTACTTTGCAAATTTTCAAGTGCTTTAAATGCTAGTTATTAAGAAGAAGAAGAAGAAGAAGAAGAGAAGAAGAAGAAGAAGAAGAAGAATTCTTCCTTCAAGGGATATAGTTTGAAATCCATCCATACCTATTTTATTCAGCTCTTATACATGCCCTGTAAAAAGTCCTCTGGGAAGGTTCACTTATTTTGTTGGAGGGCTTTCTCCAGTGATCTTGATGTTGTATATCTATCAATAGATTGTACCATTTGCCTATCAGTTATCTCTACTCTTGCTGCAGGACTGGCCTCTTTTTTCCCCCTACTTATACATCTCTGATAGTATCTTTTATAGGATTTCTGCAGAATTCTTTATTTGCAATGTATTGAAGCATCTTATGCACTTATTGAATAGAAAGCTACATAAGCATTTCATTTATCATTTAACGTATGTAGATGTGGGCAGGGACTGTTTTACAGATTGAAAAACTAGAGGCAGAGAGAATGAGAAATTTATCTAAGGCCACATAGGAAGTCATTGTCAGATTCAGTTGAAGGTCCCAAAAAAATCTTTTCCTTTGTTTTTTAGTTAGCATCATTGAGTCTTTCCTTATAGGGTGAACATTTCAAAAAGATAGATCTTGACTTGTGCTCTGGTATTCAAGGCCATTCAAATATGTTTCCTATCTCTGTTTCTGGAAAGTTCTGATCAAGCTGGAGAGAGATACAAAAAGCAATTCCATAATCCACATATAGAGATGTAATTGAACAGAGATGATGTTCTGTAACATGGGAGATCTTCTAGTAAAATTTTAATTAGAATTCTGTTAATTGTGAAGAATGATGCTTTTTTTTTTAGTGGAGCCTTGTCTTAATGCCTTAGTTATATTGCCGATTGCAAAAGTTGTTGGGCCATGTTTCTGGAAATCTGTAAAATTCTAATAATAATAATGATGATACTAATAATAATTACAAAGTGCATTGTATGTGTTACTTAATTTGATGTTTTAACACATTTGCAGAAATTCAAATACATCATTTATTCACTGACTTCAGGTTTAGTGGCTGTGATGAACAACAGTAATTATAATAGTTTATGTTTGTATGCATGTCTCTGCACACATTGTCTAATTTGCTCCTCACAGCCGCCATGAATAATCCTTGGGACAGAGATAATACAACTATTTAAACATGTCAGAGCTGTGATTTGAACCCAGGGCTTTCAGCTCCAAACCTAGCTTTCTTTCTTCTGCTCTGTTACTGGTGACCTTGGTTTGAACAAATGATTGACACCAACCAGAGAAATAAAAATGAGGCTCCTCACTTCCCCAGTTACTAAATTGGAGATGTGTCTATATGTAATCAAAGTAAACTTCTGCAGATACAAGCTGGCATGATGATTTAAGTGAGATGTAGAAATATGGCCAGACTGAAAATTTAGGTGTTGACTTCCCCTTTTTCTTTTCGAAAGATCTATCATGTAAACACTCACCTAAATGAAGCATTGCCTCAAATCTCAATATTGTCATTAACACATTTAAAGAAATTGACATGATGATAAGGACCAAATCTTTCACCCACAAGTTACAATACCAATTCTTTTGAAGAAAACTGGGAAGCTGTTACTACGATTGTCTTGTCTTATAAATGATATTGGAGTGAGTGGTTGTGGCCAAGCTGTTACTACAAATTGGTTAATGAATCTAACTTATGCCAGGACTTGGAAAAGAAAGGTGATGAAGAAAAATCAGATGAAGAAACTGATGAGAAAGAAGGAGGCAAAGGGAAAAGGAAAGATGATGATGATGATGAAGATGATGAAGCAGCTGATGAACAAGAAGAGTATGATGAAGAAGAGCAGGAAGAGGTACCATTTTTAAATAATGACATAATATATAATAATATGCCCCTTTATGAATAATAACAAGGTTGGAGATAGCAATAATAATGAATGGGCATATGGTTTTTTAAAACAATTGGTTAACAGGAACCTGGTTATTTGCCAGTGTTTATAAAGAACATTGAAATCAGTTGCACCATCATGGCACTGAAATTATAGGCTTTAGTGAATATAGGTTCAGGAAAAAGCACTTGATTGGTAGGCAGCTTTATAATAGTGGATTGGCAGCTCTCACTCGTCTTGTTTAAAGGAGTAATTTTTTTTCAGATACAATCATGCGAGTTTCCTAAATCAGGAATTTAGGAATAGGTTAAATTATGAGAGGAGGTAGCCTATAGATTTGATTAGTTGACACAGGCGTGATAGATGCAGACTCAATTTAGGAGGCCTCCTGTGCCTGGTAATATAAAAGTCTTATGACTACTTAGTTTGGGCGATAGATTTATGGGGAGCATTCCTGCCTTTGTCCTCAATTTAAGTGTGTCAGAGTCTCTAAGAGATATACTGGGGTCCCTTGCCCCTTCCTTTCATCATAGGATCAAATTCTCAACTGATGCACAGTACCTTAGAAATGGAGCTTGGTGATCATTTAACAGGAATTCCTGTAACCACTGGAAGGTCCTTTATATTTACAATAAAACAAAGACTTTTGTATATTTGAGTAACAATAAAGTGAAATGCATTTTTCTTGAGGGGCATGCTACAGTTTCATTCATTGCCATATATACATGCATACAGCAGGGATGTTCTGGTAAATGTTTAAGGACTGGCTCTGGGCTGGGGGGAATTATGCACAATACACTTTTAATTTTAATCTACATTGTTAACATTTTCTTCATCACTTTCTTAAATTTGGACAGTCAACAAAACAATAAATCAAGCTCTGATTTGTAGCCTTTGCCAATAACTGAAGAGTAAATGCTTACACTAAAATTTAACAGTTGTTTCTCCTGAGCTCATATAAGCTGGCTCCAGCACTCCCCCATTATATATAAGTCTATGTCTGATTTTGGGCGAGCATCGGTTTATATTTATCCCACTAATAATACCTTAATAATCTAGCTATATCGAGTGACGATTTGAACTGACTGAACATAGATTCCGGCCAGCCATTAGCATTATATGCCCTCTGGATATTTTTTTTAAATTTTCCAACTTGTAGAAATTTTATGAATTTCAAGTGTGGCAGATACTTAGTTCCAAGTCCATGATCTCTATAGCTACCCCCATCTTCAAGATGACTGTAGATGCTACCTAGATTCAGGGGAGGAGAGGTGATATTTTACCCTTTTGATTACCCATTTTTTTGGACTATGGACAACCAAGGTTAGAGCTGCTCAGGGAGGGGTTACCCCAGGGTTTGGGTTGGGGTCAGTCACATCAGCCTTAATGTCCCCTATTTCTTTCTGCTTATGACTACTAAGTATTTCTTCAGAATACCTTTTAACTTGGTAGATTGGTAGGTTCCTAAAACACTAGCCTGGAAAAATATTCTTTCAGTCCTGCCCAAAACCAGGGAGATTTGCTTAAAAATTCCTGTTGGTTTCTGGACATGGCTGGTTTTTGGAATTCTGCATTTTTAGAGTTGTTCTCTTATTGAGTCATGGCTCAGCCAATGCTAAAAGGCAAATTAGGAGCTCCCCTGCTGAGCACAGTAACAGCAGGATTCTAGGCTTCTTCACTTCTGGGGTGAACTATGTATCAGTCCTTAGTGGAGTACTAAACCCTATCAGTCAGTGTGCATACATAGCTGTATTTCACATTTCCCCCCCTCCATCCTCCAGTATAATACGGGGCTGAGGTACGCGTTAGGTGAGGAGGGAGGATGAGAGGAGAAGAAATGCTTACAAAGACTTGATGAATTTGAAGCCTTAAAGGTTTCTCTTAACACTCACTATTTTGTGACATCTCCTCAATGCATGAGAACGAAAGAGGTGTTTTATTTTGAAGGATAGATGAAGCTAATTAATCAAATGAATAATTTGTAGAAATATTGGCATCCCTCAGATGAGAGGTTGACTCTTGTCTATGGAGCAGTGGGAACTAGAGGTCTTTATTTGGAAGAGAAGGAAAAAAAATGTGAGTGGAGTCAGTGAAGCCTTTTCTAAAGCAAACAAAAAAATTGTGAGGTCTTTCCCCATCCCACTTTTTTTTGGTTTTAGGGGTGATACTATTTCTGATTTGGTAATTTGGCATTTTTTTCCCACTTAAGTAGAAGAACAGATTAAGAGAGTAACTTAACGTTCTAATTATGTTTTTTTTTCCACTGGGGAATTAATAATCAATTTATTAATTAGGCTAGCTGATAATAAACTGATGGTCATTGGTCTCTCTCAGTAACCAAAAATGTCTAATTATGTTTTAATGTTGCTGTTTTCCCATTATTTAGGAAAATGATTACATCAATTCTTACTTTGACAATGGAGATGATTTTGGTGCAGAAAGTGATGACAACATGGATGAAGCAACATATTAGTGATAATTGTTCAGATTGTATTTGTTTATTATATGGCCTCTGAATACTTAAGCAAACTTATTACTTCTTTTGTTTCTGATGAGAAATGAGTAAGTATTGTATTCTTGTTCACTATCCTGTGAGCATTTATCACTTAAAAATTCCAAAGTCGCTTTGAGTTTATAGATTTGTTACAGTTTACATGTTTGTTTGCAGGGTTTTCCTGTAAATGCCTTTGCCTCAACCATATTCAAATGAATTTTGCAATTGCTATTTTGATTTGAATGTGCCTAAAACATACAAATTAATACTTGAACCAAGCTGCTCTTGTTTTTAACTGCTGATCTTTTGAAGAGTTTATTGATCTTCATAATGGATTTCTTTATCCTGGAAACTGATCTTACATTGCACATGGAGCACTTTAAAAACAAAGAAACTTGAAAGTAATTGGTATTTTTTGACCTTTCTGTGTTTAGACTGATGACTTTGTACCCTTCAGGACATCTTCCGAGTTAGTTTTAAAGTTAGAGTGAATTTTGTACAAGGAAGCAAGTGAAAGATTGAATTTTTAAAATTCCCAACCTCATTCAGTATAAGGTGGCTTTCAGATGAAATGAAAGAACCCTGAATGGCATAAAGATACCAGTGAACTGCTTTCTGCATGATACTGCAGGAGATGTCTGAGTCTAATAGTCATTTTATAATCCTCATCCATGAACAGTTGGATTGAGGGGGGGGATCAGGTTATTTTAAGAAAGAATATTTAGTATTATAATATGTAGGAATATGAGAGGGTAACTCCATAAGCTTTATTCATATATAGTAATGCACCCTAGTGTGGATGGGTAAAACCTCATGCAAGTGTTTATTCTTTGAGGTATAGTAAGGTCTCTTGAGTACTGTATAGAACATAGAAGCTATAGAATTAATCCTATTTGTTTACATAATGATATTGAATAAATCTCAGGATATCTTGAAAATAAAACCTAACTTTTTTTTAGTAGAATAGCAAAAGCTACCCCTTCTGCATTTTTTTAAACCAAGTTTTATGGAAATTTCTTTGAAACCTCCAGAATCTGAAGATGTTATTGTCCTCTGAGGACAGTAATATCCTGTTTAGTGGTGGTTTTCACACCTTCAGAATAATCTGTGAAAACTGTTATTGGACAGATAAAAGAAGGGATTTTAAAGAGGCTGTCTCTCTGACCAGATTTGGTGACACCTCAAGTCTGTTTTTAAAAGCCTGTTGTAGAAATCGTCTCCACTCACAACTATACACATTCTCGGGAATGCTAATGTCTGAGTCCAGCTACAGCTTTTAAAAATTGAGACCTTCATTCCCAAAGACTATAGTCTTTCTCTTTAAAAATAAAAACAAAAAACCTGGGTCTTCTCTTCTCCTCTACCCCCATCCACCACTCCCCATCTGTGTCATTACTACCAACAACACTGACTAGTCTAGGAGTCTGAAGACCTGAGTTCCAGTTCTACCTGAACTATATTTGATCCACTCAGATATACTGGGGAGTTCAGTTATATTTTTTTCTGCCTTAGTATGTGCATTCATAAAATAGGAAAAAATTCCTAGGAATCAATCAATCGATTAACAAACATGTATTAAGTACCTGCTTTGTACCAGGTGCTAAATCACACTAAGACAAAAATTTCCTGCCCTCACATTCTTTATGCAAGGTTCCACTCAAGTCATAGGATCATAGAATTAGAGCTAGAAAGGAATTTGGAGGTCATGCATCCAGTTCACTCCCCTCATTTTACAGATAAGGAAATTCCTTCCCGGGGAGCTGAGCGACTTTGCCCGAGGTCCCCATGAGCTATAAACAAAGCAGATGGGATTTGATTGAAAGTCCTTTGACCCTAGAACTCTCATTCCACTGCACCAAGTATCTTTTAGAGATCTTTTTCTAAATCACAGTTTTAAAACCTGCACTAAAAAAAGTAGAATCCTGTAGGAAATAAATCTTTTTCTTTTTCTATGTTTTAAAGGTCAAATGATGTATTTGAAAAAAAAATAGGATGTTTTCCTCCTTGAAAATACAATGTGTTTTGATTCTAAGATTTTCCCTTTTTTCTGATTGAGGAAATTTAGAGACAAGTCTACCTGGATTTTTCTGAAGACTTAGAAGTCACTTCCTCAGGAAATAGAATGCTAGTTACCCCTGGGTAGTATCTTTTGATGTGGAAATGATGGCCATTGTTAATAAGAAAATGTGATTACCAGCTAATCCCTTCAAGTTTAAAGGATTTTATGGAAATGGAAAATAATTATTTCAAATTCAAATCACCCTTTTTTTTCTGTGTAGAAAGTCTTTCTGCTAGCTGCGACTCTGCTTTTGAAATTGGACCATTCCTGTAAAGCCATTAAACCTTGTTTTTAAGGCCTGAGTTAAAACTATGTGATGATTGAAGAAACTGGAGATGTTTAACAACTAAGAGAAAACTTAAGTGAGCCTTGGAAGGGGTGTCCCTCTAAGAGAGATTAGACTTGTTCTTGGCCCCAGGTGGCAGAGGAGCAGTAAATAGAAAATCTTAGTAATGATTTGTACTATCCAAAAAAAATTGGCTGTCTCCAAAGAACAGACTGTCCCAACTAGAGGTCCTCTAGAAGAGACTAGATGACCACTTGCTGAGTCTGTTGTAAAGGGGAGATTTGTTCAGGTCTCAGTTGGGTTAGACGGTTTCTGAGGTCCCTTCCAACTCTGAGATTCTGTGATTTCTAATAGGAAGGGATAGAGGCTTAAGTTGTGATTTCATTAGTGCAAGGAACTCTTGGGTGAAGAAGTTCTTAATTTTAGTTGCCTAGAGCACTGAGAGGTTTAAGTGATTTGTCCTGGGTCACAATGATGTTATTATATGTCCTACTGTGCACACTTAGTAGTGGAGTAGGTGGTTGTTGTTAATTTATTTTTCAGTCATGTCCAACTCTTCTTAACTCCATTTGGGCTTTTCATGGCAGTGATAGTGAAGTGGTTGCTATTTCTTTCTCCAGTTCATTTTACAGATGAGGAAACTGAGGCCAACAAGGTTAAGTGATTTGCTCAGGGTCACACAGCTAGGAAGTGTCTGAGGCTGGATTTGAATTTGGGAAGATGAGTCTTCCTGACTTTAGGCCTGGCACCACTTTGCCACCTAGCTGGCCTGTAGTGAGTAGAATATACAATTAAATCTTGTTCCTGGATGGATAAGATATGTGGACCAACAAATATTACTTTTTTGTTGTTGTTGCTCCAAGATTCTCTGTAGTAAAATAGTTTAATCCCTAGAAAACTACTGGCCTGGCACAAGTAAGCCTTTGAATTGGATATCACTTTCCTAGCTCTCTTTCTTCCTGTTTTAACCCTTTAGGTGATTAAGTTAACTTTATGGTCAAGGAATTACTTAGGAATAACTTCAATATATTACTCTTCTGCCTTTCCCCAGTGAAAAAAATCTTTTTTTTTTTAATTTGGACCAGCAAATTCATTTGTATAGGGAACTCCCTATGAGGAAACCCTCCATAATATGCAGATCAGTAGCCATTCTGTAATTGATAGTATGTATTGAGAGATGGGAAGTGAAGCCTGTTCTTCCTGATTCTTGAGCTTGGGTCTACCAACTATTCTGTGTTGCCACTTTTCTTATTAACTCCTCATGGAGGCTGCTAACATAAGAAAAGGAGGCAGCAAAGCTTTTTCAGCTACATGGGTGCTTTATTATTTTTGCTCTTGGTTTTCTAGTTTGAGTAAAATATTTTGTTTAAGAGAATATGAAATCATTTCTAATTGAAAGATTAAAAAATTGGTTTAATGATAGTCTTCATTTGGAAAAAAAACTTAAAGGCTAAATTTACTCTTGCTGTAAATGCTCATTTTTACAAATTAAGGAAATTCTTGCAATTTTTTTGTCTAAAAATTAAATTTTCTTAGAAGCAAAATGACTGAATGCTTTATCCACACTGAAATGGTTACTGTATTTTTGGAAGGAAAAAAATAAATGTACTCAGTGTAATAGAATGGTTTAGGTCTTTATAGAGCAGAAACAGTATTTATTAATAACAACTCCTGTTTTTATAGTGATTTGAGGTTTATAAGTCACTTTCATTATATCTCATTTGATGATCCTCACAATAACCCTGTGAGGTAGGTGCTATTATCTTTTACATATGAGGAAACCAGATCTTAGAAAGATTAAGTGAAGTGCCCAGGATGGATGACTATTATAAGTGTCTGAGGCAGGATTTGAACCCCAGCTTTCTAATTCTCTAGCCCCTTCTCTCTAATAATTATTCATATGGTATTTTAAGGCTTTGAACAGGACTTTTACATGCAGTGACTCATTTGATCCTCAACATATCTATGTGAGGTCGGCAGGGCAAGGATTATTTTCATTTTGCTGTATAGAAAGCTAAAGCTCAGAGAGGTAAAATCATTTCCCCGAGACCACATAGCTAATAACTGGTGGAACAGCCAGTCTCCTGACTCATCCTGTGCGCTTTCTTGTGTTTTGTTGTGTGTGTGTGGGTTTTTTAAAAGATAATTTTCTAGTCCTCTCATCAAAAACTGTTTTGAGTAGGACTTTTGCTACTGTACAAATCCATTAATATACATTGTAAAGAGATGCAAAAATTAAAAAAAGGATGAATTAAAGATGAAATAAACTATTTAAAAATAATTTGTAAAAATGTTATTTAAAGTCAAATCAAATCAACAAGCATTCATTCAGTACTCATGATGTGCTGGGAATACAAGTAAGGGCAAAAACCAGTCTGTTTCCTAGGAGCTCAAGATCAAATGGGGGAAGACAACATGCAGACAACTATGTATACACAAACTATACAGGATAAATTGGAGATAAGCTGAGAGGGAAAGCATTAGGAATAAGGGTGATAGAAAAGGCTTGCAGAGGGTAGAATTTTATCTGAGACTTGAAGGAAGTAAGAAGCAGAGGTGAGGGTGGAGAGAATTTCAGGCATGAGGAATTGCCATCGAAAATGTGTGGAGTCAGAAGATGGAGCATCATTGGCAGGAGGCCAGTGTCACAGACTGTAGAGTCCAGAGGGCTGAATAAGGTGTAAAAAGACTGGAAAGGTAGGAAGGTGGCAGATTATGAAGGGCTTTGAAAAGCCAGAGAATAGCAAAGGTACAAAAATGATTCATATCACTTCCTAATGAGAACAATAGGATTCATTATTTTTGAAAATCTTAAGTTTTTTTTTCAGGACTTAAGTTTTAATGGCTTTATAGCTGGAGAAGATACCTCACACTGAAGTGTAAGATCCAAAGGAAAGGACTGTACTTACTAAATCATGGTCTTCATTTTTCAATACCATCCATTAATTATTCAAAGATTTTTATTGACATCTAACTAGTCAATTTCCACTTTTCCTTTAAAAGGCTTGGGCAAGGGTCATGGGGGAAAGACTGGTCTTTGGGCATCAGGTCTCATGGCCAGCGGGTGGCAGAGAAGGGGTTTGAGAAGGGAGCAGTTGAAAGTAAATGATGACAAGACGCCAGGATAAGTCCTAGCTTCCTAGTGGTGAATGGCCTTTATTTGCTTCCATTCTGACTGGAGGTTTCAGGTAGGGTAAATATTAGGAGCAGGATTTTAAATTGGAGGGAGTTATATGATTGATTGGCTAAGCCTACTAGAAGCCACCATGGCCACTCTTTGCATCCAGCTAGCTGCTGCAACTTGCCTCAAGTCAGAAGACAAGAGCCCTACTTTGTTTTTCTAGGGGCAAGGAGAAAAAGGTGGGGAGGAATAAGCAAGGAGTTTGCACTGCTGTTGCTGTAGAGTTGGGGAAGGGGGAAAACCAGGGGTGTGCAGGAGGGGAACAGGTGTGCGATGACTACCTGTCTTGGGAACACAGGCTGCAGACACAGGGAGCAGTTACAACGCTGAACATCTATGTTGTCCTCCTTAAACCTATTTTCTTTCTGCATACCAATAGATTGTCATATGTACCCTACTTTGAAGACCACAAATGTAGGGGATACTTTGGTGAAGGGCATGTCTGGGTAGCAATGTATATATATTAAATTTTGAAAGGAAGATTTAATAATTCCTTTTAGATATACTAATGAATGTATGTTGTGTTGTATATGATAGTCTCTTAAAATCCAAGAAATGTCCTTCAAGATATAAAATATATAAGAATACAAAGATGATACATTTATATTACTATAATTTTTAAAATTGTGTACTTTATAATTTTACATATTTTTGTATATTTATAAACTTATAATTAATTTTTTATTGTAAATATTAAATAAGAAACTTAACAAAATGAATTCTGGTCTTCAGATTCAATTATCAATCACACCAATTCTTATTAGAAAGGCAAAAGAAAACAAATGTAAGAGAAGATAGATATACTTGCCAGGGAGAAGTGAAGAAATCTAATGTGCTTTGAATGATTACTATCCAAAAATTTTAAATAAAATTTTTGATTCTTTTTACAAGTGTATCGGGTTTGTTTGTTTAAGCTTTCCCCCCCTTATCTGTGCACCAAGCCCCTACCCTACCATTTTCACTGGAGTCAGTATCTGTCAGTGTTGAAGCCCATAGAGGAAAGGAATTGGAGAACAAATGAGACAGGCAAGAAAATAAAGATATTAAGGATTCAAGGAAAAGGACTGTCTATACAAAAAAACAGGATTGGAATCTAATTGTCTAGAACAGGGCTTCTAAACTTTTTTTTTTGGTCATGAACCTCTTTGGCAGTCTGATAAAGTCTATGAACCCCTTTTCAAAATATTTTTAAGTGTATGTAATAAAATTCAGAGGACTATAAAGGAAACCAGTTATGATGAAATATAGTTATCAAAATGTTAAAAGGAAAAAAAAAAGTTCACGAGTCTAACCTGGACCCCAGGTTAAGAACCTTTGCCATATAGTAGACTGACTTAGATTCCTGACAAAATTCTTGAATTTTTATTAAAAAGATAAATAATTCAAGAAAAGAAATTGGAGATCACAGAGAACCTGGGCTTCAAGAACAAGTTATTCCATATTAACTCCATATCTTTTTTTTTTTTTACAATTATCAGGCTGGTAAACCAGGGGAATGGCTATGGATGACATAGTTTGCCTAGATTTTAGCAGTCTCCCATCCTCTGTGGGTCTAGTCATGTCCAGTTGGGTAGGTTTGTACCTGGCTAAATAATTGGACTCAAGTAGTTAATACTGTTATGGGATTCTAGATCAGAAGATCATGGAGCTAGAAAGACAAGGCACTTCGGTAGCCATCTGGACAATCCTACCTCTTATTTTGTACACAATCAAATTGAAGCCCAGATTTAGCCAACAACATGTAAGTAGTAAATGCAGAGGTGATACTTGAATCCAGGATCTCCTAACTATAGAACAATGCCATCAAATTCTTTATAGCAAGTTTAATATTTTTTTCTGACCATTTGTTTCCTCATTGTTAAATAAGGCAAACAATGTTTCAACAGCATACAGTACTTGTTTACATAGTTACTTATAGAGGATAAAGACTATGTTAGTAAACATTTATTAGGCTGCTACTTTGTACCAAAGGCACTGAACTAAAGTGCTGGGGGGGAGGGGGATATATAGAAAGCCAAAAAGAGTCCCTGCCCTGAAAAGCTCACATTCTAATGGGGGAAGATCATACATTAAAAAGAAGCTGAAAAGGGGGTGGGGCATGATGAAGTCCTATGTGGGATATGAAGAGATGATGGCCCTGTAACACCCTTTGTAAATGGAGGATCTGAGAAGAGCTCTCCTGTGTCCACCCTCCACCCTTTCTCCCAAGAGCAGGGAGTAAAATGTTACAGTTCACTGAATTTGGAGTAGTAAAAACAAATTCTAAATCTATGAACCTATTAATTCAGCAAGCATTTATTTTAAGTGCCTACTATGTAGCAGATGTTCTGCTACTCGCTGGGTGTACAAAGATAAATATGGAACATTCTTTGCCTTCAAGAGCTTACGTCACACAGTGTTTAAGTATGTGTCTAATTTTTGGTACCAGAATTATTACTCAAACTCAAAAATATTGACTCACCTTTAAAAGTTATGTAAAATAAGT